TTGTGTGTTTTATCCACAGATTAAAGTCGCAAAAGTGATTTTATTTTCATTTGTCTTCAAGATTAGTGAAACTCAAAAGCAAAAGAGCTTCTAAGCTTTGTATAAATTCAGAGAAAAATGCTCTGAATTTGTCTGACATGTCTTGAGTCACTTTGCTGTGTCCTGCACTGCATCGTTAAACAGACACGCACAACTGAGGCTTGCCTTCTTTAGCGCCGTGTGCTGAAGTCTTTCTGCAAAAGGAGCTTCAGCTAAATCTGCAGGTTGCAAAACAAAGGCTCAGCTGCTGTGAAAGTGATGCTAAAGGGCGTCTTACAAAGATGTCTGTAACAGCGCTGCCGTAGAAAGTTGCTGGATGTCACTGGATGGTCTGCTGGACGAGTCTTTCACATAAGAGTCTGCTTGAGGGTGTGAGTATCAAAAATCTTTAAAAAAGAAATACATATAAATAAAATCAAATGAAAAAAATGATACCAATGTTATTCTGGAATAATCTAGACCAAGCTAACATCTTCAAACTTCATACAAAAACACACAAAAATGAGACAATTCTTTATTGCAATGTAACCATTTATTTCACTCCACTACAAAATTATATAATTATTTGAACTATGATACAGTCTCCACATATACATAATGTACAGTTTATAGTGTACACGATAAAAAGCCTTTTAATATAATGAATGAGCATGAGGGTTCCCACTTTTCCAGATGAGATTTTTGAAATGACATTTTTCAGAACGCTAACATTTCCTGTAAGTTTTCCAATGTATTATTTTTATAATACTGATATAAATATGGAGATAAGTCAAATTACAGTGTATTTTGCCTGATAAGTTAAAATGTAGAGTGCCACGTTTTTAAAAAGACAGCCACATTATATTTTTCCCCTTACAAACACGAATGCAGTTTAAATTAACATCAGAGCCTACAAATGTCTGCCCACTGGCTTTCTGTTCTAGTTTCAAGCCTCATTTTTCCACCAATGACTCCCAGCCCACATGTTGTGTCAGCCACAAGTTTGCTAACCCACAGGTTTGGTAAGGCAGGCAGAAATCCTAGTCTGGGCAGAAAATAAATATTTAGGTGGTGTAAATATTTGTGAGAAAGGGAGTCGCTGTGCAGTGTACAAGTCGCCACATTCGCATATGAAATAAAGCATCTAGGTTTGTAAAAACTGCATTTAGTGGTTATGATGGAGAAAAGGTGTAATGGATTCCATTCATCAAAATCACCTACATTTCACAGGAAGTGTTATTTTCCAGCAGTGATTTTCTGTGTAATTGTGTTTTCTGGGAAGAAAATGTGCAGCAGAACCAACCAGAATAACAAGCTGTGTACAAGTCTTAAAAACTGTAAAATTACTGTCAATTACTTTCTCTGTGTGTGTGGTTACCGCACTTTCACTCAGCAGCCACGCAAAGTTTGTATTTTTGTTTCATTCACATTTGGATGACTTTTTTTTTTTTTTTCACCTTTTCAATACCAACATTTTCAGGGAAACTGAGGCAGGATCTAGTTTCAGTCTCTCATCTCTACTATCCAACTTACTACAAGTCCAGCAATGTTCATATTAGTGCAAAGCATTTCTTACAAGTTGCAAAGGAAGCTAGTAAAATATGAATTCATATTTTTTCAATGTATAGAGAAAGCTTACAAAACTTCCTATCAGTTTGGCAGTACGACAGTACAAGATGGTGGCTCCCCTGCATGCTCACTGCTTTTTCCTTTAAAGTATACAAGCTTAGTGTATTTATAAAAGAGTTAGAAATACGACAGAGTGTGAACATTGCTTATTGCAAAAAGCTTTTTTCTAAAAATGCTCTAATCAAAGTGCAGCAGTGCCTCAAAAGTGGAAGAGTGTTTTTAAAGTAGCGCAAGCAGTTTCCACTCATGACCTTCGGATAACAGCTAAAGAACGAAGACTCGAGATATTGCCGGTGGTGTCCTCTCCCACATGCAGCACACACAACTGTGAGCTCACAGTTTGGGTCAGATTAGATTAGATTAGATTAGATTAGATAGAACTTTATTAATCCCTCGGGTGGGTTCCTCTGGGAAATTCGATGAAGGTTTGCTCTGGTTAAAGCGTGCAGGAGGCAGGATGCGTGACACTCACTGACTCACTTTGAAATCACCGCTCACATCTACTTTTCTCACAGGGGGACATCAGACATTACACAGACTTTGCACTAGTGAGCTGGCAGAGTAAAGCCTGTTTCGTGTCGGAGCTGACTGTGACAGTTCTCACAGATGGTTGAATAAAATGTGTGAAACTGATGTAGAGAACATTTCAGAGCCGTCTTCTTTTTCTTTTCGATTTAACACAGTAAAAAAAAAAATTGGTTTATGAAAACTGTAAATGTCAATGAAATGTTAAAAGGTTGGAAAATGTTGCTGGACAAATTCATGCCAAGACACTACATTCATGTAACACGCGTTGTTATCAGCTCCACTCCAGGCCTCTCCACGAGCGTCCGATTGTTTTGTAGAAAATGTAAACGTTCTATCTAAACGTTCCTCCTGCTTTCAATCAGCTGGATGTGCCGTGAGTATGTTTAATTACTGTTACGGGTCTGCTCACTACTCCGGTCAAACTGCATGTCAAATATCAAGTGCTCACAAGAATAACATGCCGAGTGCACCACGCCCTCAAAAACTCGGTGATTAAATGAACGAGGAAACATTTCAAATTTGGTCCAGTGGATGAATGTGCAGCTTTCTGCTGTAATGTTCAAGTTGTGAGCTGTGCACTGGCTCAATGCACGAAGGCACCATTTCAAAAGAAGGGCCAAAGATTGGGTTACGTTAGTGTGCAGATCATGAAGATGCATTTTATTTATTCATTCATCTGTCAGTGTTTTCAGCTGCTATGTCTCCAGCATCATCCACTTTTTCCAATCCATCATCTAGTTTTTTGGGAACAGTTTCAGACCTCTAAACCGTCGAGCGGCCCTTTCAAGTACCAATATCTTAAAGTGGAGTAGGAATATATTTGGGTCCATCTCCTGGTCTGAAAACCTAAAAGTGGTCCCGTAATTCCACAACACCTCCAAGAAAAATGGCCTTACCATTATTCTGAATGAGAACCCACTCCCACCTGAATGTTCAGTGCGTTTTTGGGGGTTTTCTTGTGCATCTTGTTTCTTGTTCAGGTTCTGGAGGAGACCTTGATTCCAGTCACCATTTTCTGGATCTTCTCTTCATTCTTCAGTATGTTGGACCGTACAGCACAAATCTTGTCCTGCTGGTCCTTAATCAGCTGCTCCAGCTCAGCTAGCTCAGCTTTAAGAGGCTCCACTGCCCGATCTGTCGCTCTGCAGCACGCACACACAAAGAAGGGATACAATAATTGTGTGCATGAAAGCAGAAGATGACTTAGCAGCTTGTGAAGTACTGATAGTCGTCTTTCTTTTTTTTGACTGTAAGAGTACAAAAAGAGTATAGCTAGAATCACAAATGTGTGTGTGTGTGATCTGGTGTTGGAAACAGCACAAAGATTAAAAAGTGTGTTAATTATTCGGTGACCGAACCTCTGCTCCTGCAGCAAGGCCTGTGCGTGCTCCTTGTTTTCCCGCCGCCAGGAAAGCAGTTCAGCCTGCATGGCATCCATGTCCTCCTGGATGTAGTCCATGATCTTGCCTAAAGGTAGGGAACTACGGCACACCAGCTGAATGGATGAGCGCAGCCGTTCGATCTCTTTTGTCACCATATCCCGCTCCTTTTTCTGCGCTGCTTCAGACACCAAATTCTGAAAGGGAAGGTGGTACGACAGGTGAGGTCGGGTGGATTAAAAACATTGAATTCAAAACTTGCAAACATCAGATTCTAAGCACACCCAAGCTGATGACGTGGGACGGTTTCCCACTCAGCAATGTTTCAAACAGACACAAATCACTTGTGTGTCCCCAGACCAATACACAATAAACCCTCTTTAGGAATTCCACCTTTTTCAGCAAAGTCTCAA